TTTTTTTTTTGTATTTTTTAATCGAGGCGGTTTTTTTTTTTTTTTTTTTTCGCAAGGAGAGATTCTTGAATTCCACAATTTCAGTAATCTTGGAGTGGCGCTCTTCGTCGAGAAGTCCATCCTCCATTAGTGTATTTGCCACCGTGGCACAGGGACGAACCACTGAAAAATTCTAGGGAGCATCTTGCCAATATCGGATCAATAAGCACTCTCCTTTCATTTCTTTTCACGAACCCTGACGTAGAGGCAGGTACCAGGCTAAGAAGGTAGGTAAGCTGTAGATGGGTACTCACGTTCGACCCCACGTTGGGAGAAGCTCGTTTAAATTTTATACCGACGCAACGTCGAAGCATTTTTATCACTGACGCGGTTTATCGAACTAGATTTTAATATAAAATTTTACTGCCTCAAGTAAAATGAGTGAAGCTTGTGCGAAAGGAGACACCTGGACCACCATAGGCTATGGTGGTTAGCAGCGAATCGTTGCGCGAAGCTAAATGTAAAAGCTCTCTGTAAGACGGGCGGGTAGAGCAGTTTTAGGATTACTAAAGTAAGTACGTGATAATACCGATATGTCATCAATTTACGAGTAAAATTTCGTGCGAGACACGTTTTTTCGCTATGAAACATTTTTATACAAAGAAAGAAGATAAACTTTCTCACGCGATGACATAGTCAGACGCGTATAAGATAAAATACGCGTCTGACCATCTCATCGCGTATCTACTGTCTGCCCTATACATTTTCCTCCACGTCTGGGCCCGAAACAATATTCCGTCGAATATGAATGCCGGAGCAATGCTTATTGGATCATTATACAGCATCGTTGTTTTCAATAATACAACTTTAAACAATACGCGTTTTCATGGCCACTTATGAAAAGTAATATAAATTATTGTGTACTTAATTGAAAAAAAAAAAAAAAAAAATGTCCCACCATTTACGACCAAAAACTTCCCACGTTGAAATCCCTTAATGCAAGTTGTAAATTTTATCTTGAAAATTAATGATATGCCTGATGAAAAAAAAAAGTAATTTTTACAATGGCACCCACTTCGAATCGTATGACTGTCTAATAATATATTTTTGGGGGATTTTCCATATAAAATATTACCTCTCAAATAATCATGTATATTCGTTTCGTTTTTCAGAGGCACGAGCTAGAATTATCGGTCCTGCCGACATTTACGTTAAAACTGGCAGCCTGCTGACACTGACGTGCCTAATGTCACAGGGGCCCCACGACTTGGGTACAGTAGCGTGGTACCACGGTGGTCAGCCGGTCATTACGTCTCCCCATACGGAAAACGATGCTGACTCGCAGCCGCGAGTCACCGTCGAGACGGAATGGAGCGACGCCCTTACGTCGAGGTTAGTCGATCGTCGATACACTTCGGAAATCATTTTGATATGGAATATATTAATATTATATTTTGAAAATATCAAGAGCGGACTCTTCGAAGGTGTCACGCGAATACGTCACAGATCGATATAAAATATACTTGTCATTGAGGCATGTTGAGTTGATGTTGAGTATATAGGTATAGACGCGTGTAGTACCGTGAACAAATTTGTCATCGGTGCTCGTTGGATTTTATCATTGTCGATGGTATCAAAGTAACGTTTCTTTTCGCAGATTGAGAATCACCCACGCGAAACCAGCTGATTCGGGAAATTACAGTTGTGTCCCAACGATCGCCGAAAGAGCTAGCGTCAACGTACACGTCATCAACGGTGAGTTAATCAAGACCTTTTTTTTCCATAGTAATTCAATCAGTGGCTAATTAATGAAAGTTCAAAGTAATCGTATCGTATGAATTATATGGACAAATATTTGGAAATTTTAATTTAATTATAAATATAGAATTTCATATATTCGAACGGTACGTACGTTTTTAAAGTCGAAACGAATTTTGTCGTATTTGTGAATATATTTGTAATATATGCATTTATAAAATATTTGAACGACTCGTGTGCATTGCACGAATGAAAATTAATGCACAGTAATTATTAATGGATTGATATTTATTTTTTCACTTTTATAAATTAACTATTAAAATACACGAAGGAACTGGAACGAGTGTAATTGATTGAACGATAATAATAATGCTATAAGATTACTAAAATTATATCTGGCGTATCGCACAGTGTTTATATATATATATATATATATATATATATATATATATATATATATATATATATATATATATATATACCTGCATCATAAAATATATAGTGTGTTCAATGTTATTATATCACCATTATATGTAACACTTAACAATGAGGCGCAGCTGGCATATTATACGTACTATCGATTAACGTATATACCCATATATATATATATATATATATATATATATATATATACCTGCATCATAAAATATATAGTGTGTTCAATGTTATTATATCACCATTATATGTAACACTTAACAATGAGGCGCAGCTGGCATATTATACGTACTATCGATTAACGTATATACCCGCAGGGCAATAACTATATATATGCGTATATATATATATATATATATATATACACCTGCATCCATATATACAGGTCAGAATATCAAACGTTATAGAATCTCCAATAAACATTGTTAGCAGAAAAGACTTTGTGCCCAGAATGGGTAAATTGATGGGTACAAAGGGAACAGGTTTTCAATTTCAAAGGTATCAGTGCAGCCAATTTTTTTCCGAAGTCAATATTTCTCGTTAATGTTGAAAATTAAACAATTTATTCGATAACGTCGATTCCTTTAATCTTGCGATAATAATTTGATATTTCGCCTTGTATCGCCGTTTTCATTTAATTTTTTTAAAATCCTGATCGTCGCTTTGTATTCGCATACCCTACTGGCTGGGAATTTGCGACGATACAAAAGTCTCGTGTAATTCATTGAAAAATAATTGGCGACTTTGACAGAGAGACGCTCCTGTATTAGCTATTGCTGCTCCTCCAAGCGCAAGTAAACGAACGCGTGTAACGGCTAAACGAGTTAGGGTAATTAGGCAAAGTGACAATGGCATTTATGACATTGCACCGACTATCCGGTAAGCTCGCTGGTTTGTTCGAATAAGCTACGACGGTTTTTGGCCATTGTTCGAGAAATGGATAGCCTGACCTTTTTGGTCAGCAGGCCCGAATTAATGCCTCGTTTACAATGAATACGTATTCGAGAAGCCGAATATTTCGGCGAATTCGTGCGTACCGCGTTAGGGATGCGTATAAAAATCTAAACGTAAAGCAGGGTTTACACGAAGAATCATAAACGAATGATCGATCGATTGAATTATCTACAAGTGTATCTTCGATTAAATTAGCATACAAATTTCTTATTCAAAAATTCTCTCGTTATATTTTTGTTCGGTAAAATCGACGGACGACGTCGTGCATAAAGTTGACGTTCAACGTAACATATTTTTCTTACAGATATCCTAGCATATAATTCATTCAAAAGTGTCTTTAAAATACAGTCACAGCGAAACGACCCGAGCGCCCGTCGAATTGGCGTCTTTTCCATTTGAAAATTAAAGTCAAACTCTCGCGGTGCTGCTATGAGAGTATCGTCGGTTAAAAGAGAGACCATAAGAATCGTTATCGCACGTGGCCATAATAAATCGTTTCGCGGATGTTCCAATATACGAATACAGGAGCGTGACGTTACGTAACGGCAAAGGGTCAGCGCGGGGCACCGCTGGGCTTTCCAGAAGCTTGTGTTCCAGCCCGCCGAGCAAAAGAGCAGCATGGGGGCAGGTGGAGGGGTGGACGCCAGAGAAAAGTGTAACACAGAGAAACCCTCATCAAAATGGGTTCACGGCTGGTGAAATCTGTTGAATAGGACGAATTAAACGAAGGCTTTGATGCAGTTCTATAATTTCCCGTTGGTGGCGACAGCGTCGCTGGTTACGGCTGACCACTGTCAGGAACTACCACTGCAGCCGTTCCTGCCAGAATCGCTGGATGACGCTGCAAGGAAAAACTACTCTGGCCTTTTACGTCAGCCGCTACGTCTCTTCGTTATACAGAGATCAATCAAACGCGATTGAATTCTTTTTTCTTTTTTTTTTTTACTTTTTCCGACCCTTTCGCTTCGGGAACGAACTTCCTTTCCACGTGCTTTTCTAGGAAACGTACGTAAGCGTACGACGCACAACGTCCGCTACCCAACGCCTTTCTCCTTGCAACGGTGTACTTTCGAATCGGGTAAGTGCCGCTCGCAAATTGAAAACTGTAAATAACACGGGTTCACTTCCGTTTTTCCTTGCCGGTGTGCAGCACCGGATCGAACGACACTTTGTAAAATCCGCGAGTTTACTAGCAATCGTTTTCATTGGATTTCACTCTTTCTTTTTTTTTTTCTTTTTTTTTTTGTTTTCCTTCTTCGACGTTCGCTGCACACAAAGGTTCCAACTTATAAATATATATCGGACGAGGCAAATTGATTTTCATTAATACTAAATATTTCAGTCTCTTTGTATATAACGGTTGTTAAAGTTTCTCTTTACGTCGTTATATCGCAGTCCGATATTTTTTTTTTTTCTTCATCGCAACGGGGCTAATGCTTCCGGTAGGTGAATCAGCCTTTTCGAGACCGAAGCGAAGTAGTTAACGTTTGAACAATGACCGGGCACTTGAATTTCGCGATTAAATCTACCTCCTTTTTTTTATCATAGCCAATCGATACGAACGATCTTTTGCGAATCGATAATGTATATCGTGAAGGGCCGATAATACCGGGTGAGAGGATTATTACTAAATTATTAAACTTGGAACTCGTTTCACTTATACGATACTTCTCGGATGTGTACCAAGATCATACTCAATATTCATATATGAATTATTTCGGCTCACGCGCGAGCAGTCCATTTCGTTAATGGGAATATTGTTTGCGAAACGTCATAGAGCTACTCTAGTTATCACCTTGAACAAGTCATATATATATATATATATATTTTTCAATAATTAGGATCTTTTCGCGCACTTAAGCAAGGAACTTAAGTATCTTTGTTATCTTTCCGGTACGGAAAGCTGTCTGAGCTTTGTTAGGTAATTATTAAATTCTATGTAGAGAAAACTTTCAATGATAATTACCGGAACTTTGTTTCGTCAAATACGAGATGCAAGCTGAATTTCTGTTAAATGAATTTCTGGGTCCAAACACCGGTTTTGGAATTTTTGCAGGAGGTACAATTTATATTTAATATAAATTTTGGGTAAATCTAACTTTATGTCACGAGCAGCAATTATTTTGTGAACAGATCAGATTATGCAATTAAAATGGTCGATTGATAGATTTCTAATTTATCGTCTCTCCCGGGATGCAGGCTTCGTCGTGTAACTAATACTTTTCAGTTCTTGCAAAATTTTTATCTCTTCGCTCTCGCACGCGCTTTCTTGGACTTTATACATGATGCATGCAATCCGGAGAGTATAAAGCGATTAAAGATAGAATCGCTGTATCTGATCGATCTTTTAATGGAATTCGGATGAATTTTATGGAACAGCCATTGGATACCTAGGAAGAGTGAAAGGCCGAGTTATGAATTACAGATTGGTTTATACTGTGCACGTTGATCACTCCTCTTGTCGGTATAGAAGGACTCTGCAATCCTTGGAATCAGATTACGAGATCACAGCTTCACCGGATACAGTCTTAGGTCCGTTGGTAACTTTAAAAAAATTGTTTACAATGACACTAACGAGTCTTTGAGACGGTTTTCAGATTTAAAAAATCTATAATCTTAAAGCAATTCTTAAGTTCCAATAATCTCTGCCGAGTACGAAGGAAATGGGAATCTTTTTTTGGATCCTTTACCGATAAAGTAGCGCATCGATATACTTATTGATCTATCGAAAAGTGGGTTGAAGTAGATGCACTGCAAAGTGGTGGCGATAACCGTTTACCAACAGACCTACTTGATCTGGATTATATATTTTCGCTATTAATTTTATATCGAAATCTGAAGATTTTGTTTCTTCTCATCCTTTCTACCGTTTTCATTGAATTTCAAGCTTTTACGGATGCTAGGGAAAGGAGAGTACTGCTCTAGTCCCCGTCTGCCGATTATAATTTTACCTTGATTTTCTTATTTAATTTACATGCAAATTTATCTCTATTTATTCGATTATAAGTCATATTTCGTGTGATTAATTTGTCTTGTTTACCTTCCTATAAAGCCTGCTAATGGATATAGTCGGATCAAACAACAACCAAAGTTGGCTTATCCATACGATCCTTATGGTACCTAAAGCCTAATTAGGGTCGATTCAGGACTGGCATCTGTTTATGTTTCAGATGATTATACGTATTTTCGTGGATACTTAATGAATGTGTAATATGATATCTTTTTGACATGTACCAGATGAAGAGTCACGTGTAACAAAGGTATAATATATTTCAAAGCATACGTGACATTGATACGTGTATTGTTCATAGTGTACAATAAAGTTTCAAGGCGTTATTGGTAACAAGGGAATTTTTAACGTCGATCATTACCTAACGAGTAAGGGAAACGAAAGGGGTGGGATTAGTTAAGTATCAAAGATCGTCATACATATTTTAATCAACTAACCAATGCAAACTCCGTTGTTCGTAAGTCATGATAACCGATAGCTGCTCTCATTTCGTACCGTGTCAATACGTAAATCTGACTTTTTCATCAGAAACATGGATTCAATTTATCACAGTTGTCTGGCAGTGAAATATTTATTATACGTATTTTTGTACCAAAGT